AAGCAAATCTGTTTTGGCAAAGAACTCAATCCCAGCTTCCCAAGCAATATCTAGAACATCTTAGGAAGGGGAAAAAAATATTTTATGGGATAAATTGCTCTCAAGACTGGCCCATTTTGTTCAGAGGTTTCGGAAATGTCTGTTTTATTCAATGCCAAGACTGGCTCTTTTGAGCTTGGGACATTCTGAGGTTCAGGGCATCAGTGTGGGGATGGCAAAGAACGTCAAGAGACGACTTGTGGCCACATGACTGAATCCAGTGGTGGGATTCAAATATGTGAACAACCGGTTCTCTGTGTGGATGCCGCTTCTGGGAAGTCCATTCTGGGCTGGCAACAAAAAATTAGCTACCGGTTCTGCCAAAGTGGTGCGAACTGGCTGAATCCCACCGCTGACTGAATCCCTGGACTTTTTTGGCAAACATTGTATAAGCTGGACTGTTGCACATCTCTGGGGAGGTTAGACTGATGGTGTATAGCAGAGGTTCCCAGCCTTTTTTGGCACCAGGGACCATCTTTGTGGAAGACCATTTTTCCAAGGACCAGGACTGGGGGGAGAGATGGAGAACACAGCCTAGATCCCATATATGCACAGTTTCTGTAAGGACCCACCTCAGCTAACCACCCAAGGAAGCAGAATTCTTGAAACAGGCATTGTCTCAAAAGTTCTGCTTTCTTGGGTGGTTAGCTCACCTCCAGCTGTGTGGCCCAGTTCCTAACAGGCCATGGACCGGTACTGGTCTGTGGCTCAGGGGTTGAGGACCCCTGGTGTATAGATCAGATCCTGTGCCAGCTTTTAGAACAGGAAGCAAGTCTGAAATAGTGGTCAAATAGCACCATCTCAATACCCAAGGCCAACTTTACACGATGCAGCTAATAATCCCATTTCCTCGGTCACCATAACATGCCAAACTAAAAATGTGGTTGGCTAGTTGGTTGAGCAGCATGTTGTCCAAACAGAAGAGAAGAGAATACTTGTAGCTCAAGGCTGAACTGCGGGGTCCTTGGTACTCTCTGAGCTGGGTGGTTTTCTTGCAGCTGTTTCATTACCCAACTAGGTAACCTCATCAGTACTCCTGATTGCACTGATGAGTACACCTAGTTGGGCAATGAAACATCTTTGAGAAAACAACCAAGCTCAGAGAGCACCAAGGTCTTTACATCTGAACACAACCAAGACTTTTGCCATCAGTGAGAGTGCGTATCGAAAAGAGACAACAACCAAACATCCTTTTGGCACGTTTTGGGGACAATGCCCCAGACTTTAATCTCTCTTTTTCAATTTTATTTGTCAAAATAACTTTTAAGTATTCCTGGACAAGTCACAAACATTGTATGTGCAGTAATAAAAATAATTTACTCTCAACAAACGAAGGTATAATAATATACACCATAGAGTTGCAGTGCAATGAAGAGCATTGATTTCTTGTGTCTTTCCTCTCACTCTCCCCTCACCCCACCCCACCCCAATAGTCCATAAAGTGCATTGCAAGGGCTTGGGTGAACCCCCATGGAATGGCAGCTAGCAAGTGGGTCATTTCTGATTCCCTTTGGCGAATCCAGGTGCACGTCTCCCTTCAACAAGGAGTACTGAAGTGGGGGGGGGGCGGAGAGGGTGCATTAACTTGCCTGCAGCTTGGCCTCTCCAGGATACAATGGGTAGTAACATTCTTCCACCCAGACTTTTCAGAAGTCTGGACCTCTTGAGGGATTCGTTAAGGTAGCGTTCCTCTCCTCTCCAACTCCCCCGTTAGGTGGTATGCTTGTATGCAAATGATGCGGCAGCTTTTTCTTTCTCGCCAGATGTTTGGGATAGTCACCTCTCAAAATCCTCAAGAGATGCCTGGCAAACTGGGGAGAGGAGAGTGACAAGAAAGGGAAAGGGAAGGGAAGGGAAGCTGGTCGGCTTTTGAACCCCACTGTATGGGTGGGTGGATCACTGACATATGCAAAATAGACCTCCTTTCAAATACACACACACACACACACACACACACACACACAAGATAAAGCAATAAAGGTCTGCCTCTAAGATAGAATTCAACTTCAGTTTGCTATTTCTTTACTTTTTGGGGGAGGGGGGATAACCCTTAGCTTTTCAAACTGGGTGCCTTCTACAGGTGTTGGGCTACAACTCCTCTAACCTCAGCTCTGGCTAGACCTGATGGGAATTGTGGTCCAACGCTTTTGGAGAGCAAGAGGTGAAGGAAAAGTGCTTGACTTTGAGCTAGGGTAGTGTTTCCTAGGAGGGAGGGGGGGGAGAATGAGCAGCTGTGTCTGTGTCGTTGCACATGGGCTATTGTGCCTCATGTTACAGGCGTCCTACCTCTGCTCAGCCTCCCTGGCTGCCCGCTACAAGGCCGCAAAAGTTGAGATATAAATCCAACAGATCAATTCAACAAATCAAAGACAGTTTGGTGGTAGTGAAGAGAAGACGGCCCCCTTCAGCAAGAATGCTTCCGTAGGACATCCCAGCCAGATGTTCTTTTTCAGCAGGGCCTCCACCCCTCCTTTCCACAACCCATATATAAGCACTCCACCGCTACTGAGCATGCTCAGTTCACTTTAAACTACTTTTGCTTAGGTTTTGAAAGCCTGAAAGCTCAGCTTTTTCCTTGAGCCACTAACCCAGTGGTTCTCAACCTGTGGGTCGGGACCCCATTTGGGGTCGATCGACCATTTCACGGGGGTCGCCAAGCAAGGCTGTCCGCCATTTTTTTTGTCTGCCATTTTTTTTGTCCGCCATTTTTTCCCCTTTTCCAGCGGGTGCCTTACCTCCCTTGGGCTGGGCCAGCTGGTGGTCGGCCTGCTCTGTCTCTGCCGCTTGCCAGCTACGCCTCGGCCGGCGCAGGGGGCAGAACCACGCATGCGCGGCGCTCCCGGGCAGGGAAAGTCCTTGACTTACGACCGGTTGGGTAGTCCTCGACTTATGACCGATTTAGTCCTCGACTTACGACCGGTTTAGTCCTCGACTTGCGACCGGTTGGGGTCGCGGCATTAAAAAGGTTGAGAACCACTGCACTAACCTCTCTCCCTTCTTTTACTCAGCAGCCCAGGGGCCGCAGTGCATCCCTTTCCTTCGCCAAAATAAAACCAAAGGCAAGGGGCGATTTGCTAGTTTCACATCCCAGAGAAAATAGACTTGAGCAAAAGATGCTCTTCAGGTGTGTTACGCACATAACATTTATATTGACAGAACATGCTGGCTAAGTTGAAGGTCCCTGCAGGGTGTCTGCTTAATAAAGCTGGGACTTAATAAAACGGGACCGTCTAAAAGAGGAGTCGATTTCCCTTGAATCAGAACAGCAAAAAGGGGAAGGATGGGCAGAATGGTCCAAAAAAATCACCTCTACTACCTGTGGTTCCCGTGTTCTCCCTTTGGCTTTCATTGTAAGTCGGCCTACTTTGCCCCCCCCCCCTCCCTCCTTACTTCAAGAGTCACCTTCAAATGCAAAGGGGGTTGACTTAGTCACACATAGTCAGACTGCAAAGTGCTTTTAGGCTTGTAGTGGGTTGCACAGTGGGTTGCACTGCTGGAAATGGGGGGGGGGGAGAGTCCCTCAACAGACCTTCCCCCCCAACCCACGAATCACACAACCTTCTTGAGGGGTGGAGAGTAAACAGGCACTACTGAAGGACGGGAAGGTGTCCTCTCTGTCTGTCACGCGTTCTACCTGGCATGCACAAGACACCCCCGTCACGTTTCTCCCACCCCCCCCCCGAAAACCTCCTCGACTGGGGGGGGGTCTCAGGGGAGCCTCGGAAGGCCGGCTGCGTCCGGGGAGCTGTCCGACGCTGGAGGTGCTGAACTGGGGTGGTGAGAAGCCATTTTGGCTGGCTCGAGTCAACCCATCACGACTCGCTTGGTCGGTCGTCATCGCGTGTCTTGCGTGTGGGCTGCGTGCGTGTGTGGGTGTTCATGTGTGGGTGCGTGCCTGTGTGTGTGTGTGTGTGTGTGTGTGTGTGTTTTCAACGGTTGTTTGGATATTGCATAGCAGAGAAAAAAACCTGATCGGAATAAAAAAATATGTATAAATAAAATGGGACGTCCCTGACAGACGGCCTACTACGCTTTTCCCACGGTGATATCTCCCCCTGCAAAAGGAGTCCGCTGTGGCGTGTGCATTTAAACCAGGGGTAGTCAACCTTGGCTCTTTTATGACTCGTGGACTTCAACTCCCAGAATTCCTGAGCCAGCTAAGCTGGCTCAGGAATTCTGGGAATTGAAGTCCACGAGTCATAAAAGAGCCAAGGTTGACTACCCCTGATTTAAACTCTTACATTCCAGCTCAAGTCGTCAAAATGCAGATGGTCGGCTGCTTGGACCTCATTTTTCGCCCACAAACCACACATAGCCCGGCCCCTAAAACCGTGCTTATTTGAAAGAGGGGCAAAACCCCCACCCCCATCCTCATCCTGCTCCCACCTCCTCTGTTGCCTTCCTCCCCTCGATTCCCCATCCCGAAGGCTGCTCTCACAGGACCTGTTAAAGACCCGCCCCCGCCAATAACATACCATTTAAAAAACCAAATCGGGATCCATTTGGGACCCTCCTCCCCACCCCCTCCTGAGATCCAGCCTTTACACTTAAACGCGAAGGGACTGTTGAACGAATCAAGAAAAGGTCTTAAGGCCAAAGACCCCCCACATTTTTGCAATTGCCCTCCACCGAATCCGTCGGGGAGGGCGCTTTGGCCAAATTGCCGCCCCCTCCCTTTGCAGGGAGCCCCCAGCCAAAGTCGGACGCCTCTTGCGTCCGTTCGAGCAAACTCAGATGTAAGAAAATAACCCTCTGGAACTGCCTTTCCCTCCACCTCGGGTTTCGTTCCCCAGAAAGTTGGCTGTGGCGCGTTTCTGCGCCGGGTTTCCTTTCCTTCCTCCTGCGGGGTGGGGGGTGGGGGTGGGGAAGCCGAGAATCCAGAAGTAAACGGGGGTGGCGACGGTGGTGGGGGTGGTGGTGGGGGGCCGTTGGTTTCCAGCTGCCTCTGGCCCCGCCCGCCTCTACACGTCGCTGGACGTCCTGGGTCGGGAGGCGAAGCCGCCCGGGATGCAGGCGCAGCAAGCCAGCCACAGAGACTTCTGGATCTCGGGGTTGCGGAAGGCGTAAACGACGGGGTTGAGGAGCGAGTGGCAGGCGGCCGGCAGGGCCAAGGAGTAGGTGTAGACCTCCGGGTAGGAGGCGTCGGCCACCAGGCAGTAGACGGCGAAGGGCACCCAGCAGAGGGCGAAGGTGCCCAGGATGAGCGAGAGGGTGGAGAGCCCCTTGCGCGTGGAGGTGGCCTGCGCGCTGGCCATGAACTGGTGCTGGACGGCGATCTGCTGGGCGTGCCGGCAGGCGATGCGGCAGATCCGCCCGTAGAGCTGCAGCATCAGGCCGAAGACGAGCAGGAAGGCCACGGCCAGCACGGCGGCGTTGTCCCGGGTGACCGGCCGCAGGACGCTGCAGGCGCCGGGCCGGCGCAGGCAGTTCCAGCCCAGCAGCGGCAGGAGCCCGACGGCCAGGCAGGCCAGCCAGAGGAGCAGCAGGCCGGCGCCGGTGAAGGTCCGCGTGCGCTCCGAGTGGTAGGTGAGCGCGTTGGAGAGCGACAGGTAGCGGTCCACGGTGATGGCCAGCAGGCTGCCGACCGAGGCCGAGAAGGCGGCCAGCAGCAGCCCGGCCGCGCTCAGCCGGGCCGCCTCGCTGGGCGGCTGCAGCAGGTAGTGCACGCCGAAGTTGACCACCAGCCCCAGCCCGGCCAGCAGGTCCGCCAGCGCCAGGCTGCCGATGAGCAGGAAGGGCGGCGCCCGCAGGCCCGGCGCGTAGAAGAGCACGGCCAGCACCAGCGCGTTCTCGCCGGCCATCAGCGTCCCGGCGGCGCACAGCGCGATGTCCCAGGGGCTGACGGCGCCCCCCGCCGCCGCCGCCTCCCCGCCGGCCCCGCCGCCCGGCCCGGAGCCCTCCCCGCCCGCGCTGGCCGTGGCGCCGGGAGACAGGGCCACGGCGGGGCTGCCCGCGGCGGCGGCGGCGAGGTGGGTGGGCGGCCAGAGGCTGGCCAGGGGCCACGAAGAGGCGTTGAAGAGCACCAGGAGACGCTGCTGCTGTTGCTGGCGGAACTGCTCCTCCATGGCGGCGGCCGGGATGGGGAACATCGCTGCGGCTGCGGGAGGAAGAAGGCCGGGAGAGTCAGCGAGGGAGAAGGGAAGGAAGGAAGGAAGGAGGGAAGGAAGGAAGGAAGGAAGGAAGGAAGGAAGGAAGGAAGGAAGGAAGTTGAGGGAGGGAGGGAGGGGTAGGGAAGGAAGGAAGGAAGTTGAGGGAGGGAGGGGTAGGGAAGGAAGGAAAAAAGGAAGGAAGGAAGGAAGGAAGGAAGGAAGGAAGGAAGGGAGCCTAAACGCCCCGGCCATCTCCCGGCGCTCTGCACCTCGTCCCCGGGACGGTTCCCCTCCGAAATCGCCCGCGATGGCTGGCAGAAGCCGCCTCTTGCTTGAGCAGGGAGAGGGGGTTGGACTAGATGACCTCCAAGGCCCCTTCCAATTCTGTTATTCTGTTCAACCCCCCCCCTCCCCTTCAGCCCCTTCTCTTCCTTTGGCTCTTTTGCCTTCCAGGTCCTGGGTTGGGGGTCCTTAACGAGCCCGCTTTTTTTTTTTTTTTTTTACAATTTGATCCGCTCCCTTTTCTTTCCGCAGAAGGTAAATTTGGCACTGGGGACAAGTTCTCCGCCTTTCCCTCTTCCTTTCTCCCGAGGCTTCCCCCCCCCCCTCCCTCTGCCGACCACCCTCACCCCCTCCCCTCCCGCTCCCCAGAAGTGTGGGATCACTACAGGTCTGCCGCCGAGGAGGATGGGCAATCTAGTCGAGTGCAACACTTGTGGAGAGTGGGGAAGCAGGTATTTTCCCTCCCCCGCAGGATGCGGAGGCGGTGACATCACCAGCCCCTCCGTTTTTCAGCTGCAGCCAAAGGGGGAGACCAAGCATCCCGCAATGGCCCAGCTCTCCTGGCTCGCTTTCTCACGAGTTCGGAGCTTTGAATCCCGGCTTCCGTTTCTTGGATCTAAAGCTGGGGGCTTCCCGGGGGCTGGAGGGAGCCTCAAAGCCTGCCCTCACGACGGCTACAGCGGCCCAGCGGCGGTTGGAGGTCGCTATAAACCAGTGTTTCTCAACCTTGACCATTTTAAGGCATGTGGACTTCAACTCCCAGAATTCCACAGCCAGCGAAGCTGGCTGTGGAATTCTGGGAGTTGAAGTCCACATGCCTTAAAATGGTCAAGGTTGAGAAACACTGCTTGTAAACTAAGCACCGGCTCTCCTCCCTTCCTATCTACGGTCGGGAAAGCGCCGCGTCTGCCCCGCAACTGCGGGGGCCGTCTCCTTCACCCGCCTGAATCTCGGCTGCTGCAACAAACCCAGGTCAAACCAGGTTCCCTGCCCCCGACAAGCCACCCGCCCTCCGCGCCGCGCCGCTGGGAAGGAGACGCGCTGCTGTTTCTCCGTCCGGGCCGATAAGGACCCGCGCCCCGGTTCAGGGTCTTTATCTCCCCCCTCCCTCCCCCCACTTCCACGCAATCCGAAATAGCCCAGAAGTCTCCCGCTGGTTTTTCCCTTTTTTTTTTCCTGAGAGTGGGACGACCCGGGACCAGGACGCTCGAGCGAGACCCCCAGACGGGCGGAGAAAACCGCTGGGGGGTGGGCTGGGGTGGGCTGCTGCTGGTGGTGGGGCAGATACAACGCCAGCCCTTCCCCTCTGCCCCGCACTCTTCCCCCTCGACCCACTAGCCCAAAGGACCGGACCGGGCAAGGGCTGGTCCTCCGCCGGCGCGCAGGGGGGAATGCCTCTCCACCCGGTTGCGCTTTTTGCAGGAATTTATTTGTTTATTTATTTATTTATTTGTTTGGATTTGTATCCCGCCCTTCTCCCTACGGACTCAGGGCGGCTGACAGCCTGGTAAAACAAATACAGAAATAAAAATACCCACTTTAAAACCTAATTAAAATGAAATATTTGATGTGGCCTGTATCAATTTAAAATTATTCTTAAAACCCCACTAAAAATTCCCCCTAGGCCAGTCCTGCTTGTTGGAATAGCCATGTCTTAAGGGCTTAATGCCACACTAGTCGCCCCTTGGAAGTGCCCGCGGCCGCTTGGAAGTGCCCCTTCGGGTCTGGAGGGGCGGGGCGGGGGGGTCCCGCTTGCGACAGGCCTCTTTTTTTTTTTTTTTTTTTTTTTTTTACCTGGGGCTGCGAGGCGTCGGACCACCTCGGGGTCGGGCTTGCTCCTCCGCGCCCCGCTGGTTCAATCTGGGGCGCAACCTGCGCGTCCTTCCCGGGCGAGCATGCTGGCTGGCTGGCGGATGGCGGGCAGCCCGCAGCTCTGACTATCCTTCGCCCTTTGGGTCTGCTGATAAATCTCCCCTCTGACGTCAAAAGGCTCCGCTTCTATTCAGGACCGGCTCCCAGGCTGTGTGAATCAGAGGCGCCCGTGATCAGAATAACAACCAGGGCGTCTTGCGCGCTCTCCTCCATCCCCCCCCCCACCCCCCGCCCGCTCCTCTTAGGTGTACACCCAGAGGCTCCGGCGTAAGAAGCCCCGCCCGGCCCTCTGGAATTTCATTCATAAACTGGCTGGGACGCGCCCCTCCCTCCTTCCTTCCCTCCCTCCCCAAGGTCAGCTATTCCAGGATAGCTTTCTGGGCAGGGCGGAGGGAAGAGTTTGCCAAAACCGGCCAACCTGCAATGATCCGCAAGAGAAGCCTTGTTTGTTGGTTGGTTTGTTTGTTTAAGCAACGGTGTATCTTATAACCTTCGAGACCGCCTCCTGCCACAGATTACCTCCCATCGGCCGGTACGCTCCCACAGGGTGGGTCTCCTCAGGGTGCCGTCGGCCAGACAGTGCCGGCTGGCGACCCCCAGGGGGAGGGCCTTCTCTGTGGGAGCTCCCACCCTCTGGAACGAGCTGCCCCCAGAGATCAGGGTGATACCTGATCTCCCTTCCTTCCGCCGCGCCCTCAAGACATGGCTATTCCAACAAGCGGGACTGGCCTAGGGCAATTTTTAAGAGGGGTTTTTAGAGGGGTTTTTAATCATATTTTAATCAGACAATTTAAATATTTCATTTTAATTAATTTTAATTTTATGATTGTTATTGGTGTTTTTAATCGATTGTCAGCCGCCCTGAGTCCGCAAGGAGAAGGGCGGGATATAAATTCGAATAATAAATAAATAAATAAATAAACCAACTTTGGGCGGCCCTCTTGGGGCGGGACCCGAGGGGGACGGGGGTTGTTGAAAAAGGGAGGGAGCTGCTGCCAGCCTTCACCGGGGAAAGGAGAGCGATTCGAGGGTATTTTGCCTCTTGTTTGGCTCCCTCCCCACACCGGCCGAATCCAGGGAAGCCCCGTGGGAAGGGCAGGTGCGTCAAGCTACAACATTCCCAGGCAAGAAAAAGTAATTGGGAGGCAAGGCAACGATCTCTCCTTGCAGCGCGTCTGTGGGACCCCAAAGGTAGAGGTGTAGTAAAACGGTATTCTTCGTGGAACCATTTCCTCTCCTCCAGACAAATAATTTGAATTTAACAATTTGAGCCTTTATAAACAGAACATTATAAACAGAACAAAGATGAAGGGCAATAGAAGAAGGGGACGACAGAGAATGAGGGGGCTGGATGGAGTCACTGAAGCAGGAGGCGGGAGCTTCAATGGACTCCAGAAGATGGTAGGTCAGGGCTTTTCAACCTTTTCACCCATTGTACCACTTTTAGGATATGGCAACATCCGAGTACCACCAGTCGCCTAGCGAGGTGTCAAAAACTTGATGACCAAAAAAAAAAAGGAAAAAAGTGATAAAGTACAGGTAGTCCTCGACTTACAACAGTTCGCTTAGTGACTGTCTGAAGTTACAATGGCACTGAAAAAAGTGCCCCCCAAGCCACAGCCGAGCAAAACACCTGCCTGCCCACCCGGTGGTGCTCTTCCTCCTGTCTGAGGTTTTCATTGTTGTGAGCATTTCTGTTGAGGATTGGCAGTGGGGGTGGGGGGTGTTTTGTTTTTATCCCCCCCCCCGTCTGCTGGGTTGTTGCAGCAGGTTTTGGTCACTTCACATGACCCTGGGACACTGTGACCGTCATAAATATGAATCAGTTGCCAAGCATCTGAATGTAAATCACAAGACCCTGGAGAGGCTGCAACATTCCAGCTGATTGGCGCTTCTTCTGGGCTCAGCAGAAGCACCAGGATCAGCACCGAGCTCCAGCTGGAGCCTGGCGCTGATCCTGGCGCTTCCACTGAGCCCTGACAGCCCCAAAGAAGCGCCGATCAGCTGGAAAGGGGCACTGATCCTGGCGCTTCCGCTGAGCCCCAACAGCCCTGCAGCTCCAGCCATCTCTCGCTTAGGCTTGTGCGGTGCTGCCACCGGTCCAGCTCATTCCCTCGCGTACCACCTGCCAGGTGCCAGTGTACCACAGGTGGTACCCGTACCACTGGTTGAAAAGCCCTGACCTAGACTGGTGACAAAATGTTCAGAAGCCAACCCAAAAGCTTGGAGAATGAACCTTCACCCTCAATTTGAATAAACTTGTGGGATGGGAAAGAATTTGTTAAGAAAATATTTTGGGGAGGATGGAGAAGTATTCCATCTCTCAATTTATACGTGGTAAGATATTGTGTATATATGTGTGGTGTATATTGTACACTTTAATACAAAGAAACCAGACATTACAGTGGCTGACCAAGAAAGGGAGACACTACTGGCACTTGAAAATGCTGACCCAGATTGTGGCTGCTGTAAAAAGACACAGTCCCCTGCTGGAGATCACCGAGAAGGGAGTAGCAAGGAAAACGGCCCACTACATTTCTTCCTGGCAGGCTCTGTGCAGATCCAGTCACCAAGGAAGGGAGAACTGTTGATCTGGAACATGATTAATGGATTGGAATCAGTTCCCCTCATTCTGCTTCTTGATGTTTGCTTGTTTATTCGTGTCAGCAGCATCACCATTAAAATAAGGCATACTGTAAGATATAAAATTCAAAATATAAAATACAACATTGAAATATCTACAAGTTAAACAAATCTTGCCCAGAAACTAGCAGCATTAAATGCATTTTGTCGCTCTGCCATGAGGTCCTCAACTGTGCACTGATCAGGATGCAAAGTGCAGGTAT